TTCTTCTATGGTTATTTTAGCTGCTACCCTATGGTTTAAAGTATTTTTTCATGATTTATAAAAATCTAATATGAAAGTTAATACTTTTACCACTTCTCAGATAATCCAAACTCCTTAGAATACTTTAGCATTATTTATAGCCTGCCATCCTTTGTTTTTTTTTTTACCGTTGTATATTTTAATTCTATGTATACAGCATTCCTTGCTCACATTTCAATATCTATGAAGTTCAGATACCATGATTTAGTTAAATTTAAACAATAAATGTTCTTGACAACATGATCCAAATTTCAGTTACTATGGTATATTAACTGTAACTGAATAAAGTACAAACTTTGTTACCAGTTCTTCAGTCCACAAGTCACTATATAAATAACAGGTGCACACCGTAAGAGGTGACCAATTACATCACTTCTTTCAAAATCATTGGGCCGGGTGTGGTGGCTCACGCCTGTAATCCTAGCACTCTGGTAGGCTGAGGTGGGAGGATTGCTCGAGGTCAGGAGTTTGAGACCAGCCTGAGCAAGAATAAGACCCCGTCTCTACTAAAAAAATAGAAAGAAATTAGCTGGACAACTAAAAATATATATAAAAAAAATTAGCCAGGCATAGTGGCATATGCCTGTAGTCCCAGCTACTCGGGAGGCTGAGGCAGAAGGATTGCTTGAACCCAGGAGTTTGAGGTTGCTGTGAGTTAGGCTGACGCCACGGCACTCTAGCCCAGGCAACAGAGTGAGACTCTGTCTCAAAAAAAGAAAAAAAAAAAAAAGAAAAGAAACAAAATCATTGGTAATTGGTCACTGAATATTTGTTGTTCAGTTTACTCACAAACAATAAAACATGCAGTTGTGGTCCCTATGGGTTTCTCAGTAATAAACCCTTTTGACATTTTATAAAAATGGTTAATTGAAGGAATGATTGATCAAAAAAGATGAAAACGAAGCAAAGAAATGAAATGTGATATTGCTGAAGGTGGAATTTGAATCAAATGTAAATGGAGTTGTAGAAGAAATAGCTAACATGGGAATATTGATACTACCACTATCTGAGAGGCTCTAGATATTAAATTAGAGAAATTTAGTGAAGGCAAATTATTGACATAAATGAGAACAGTAGTTGTGAAGAGAAGGATGAAAATGTCCCCCCAAAAATGAGGCTGGCAAATGTTTACACTAAAGGAACTTTTAAAAATATTCTATGACATTGAAAAAGCAAAGGATAAAATGGTGGAAACTGATCCAGACCTAGAAAGAAGTACGATAGTTTTTCAAGAATTGAAAAGATACTCTCTTGTAAGTTATACAGCAAAGATAAAGAGAGCAAGCATTGTTCAAACCACTCTGGTTAAGTTTTTACAAAGCAATGAAACATTTTAATTCTAAGTGTTTCTAAGGTTTAAAATTACAGTGCACTAAATAAATATTAATTTTACTATACTATTTTTCCTATACCTTTATAACTGAAATTAAAAGAAGTTTTAATGTTTTGAAAAAAATTTTAAGTCACAAAATAATCATATTTTTTCTCATTGATTATTAAGATTGCTTTGCACTGTTCCAGTCAGCATAGTTTTATGATCCTACACTATCATGCAGAGCAGGGTTGCCTGTTTTAAACTCCATAAGATATTATTTTATTTGTTTTATGTCGAGCAGTCAAGGTTCATTTATATTTACTCATATATTTACCTTCTCTGTTGCTTTTCATTTCCTCCTACACAGAAATGTGTTACCATGTGGGACCATTTTCCTTTATTATTATAATTCCCTTTAGCAGTTCCTTTAATATAAGCTTAATGGGAACAAATTCCTTAAATTTTTGTGTGCTTTAAGTATCTTTCTTTTTCAATTTTAAAGAATCTTTTTGTTGAGTTAGGAGATATTTACTGTTTTGATCTCTGCAGATATCTTTCTATTGTTTTATGAATTGCATCATTTCTGTTGAAAAGTCAGCTATCAGTCTCGTTATGTTATTGAAAGTATTATCTATTTTTTTCCTTGTTGCTTTTTATGATTTTCTTTTTGTCTTTGGTTTTAAGTACTTTTACTATGATGTGCCTCATTGTGGTTTTCTTTGCATTTATCCTTTTGTTTATGGTACTTCTAATATCTGTGATTTGATGTCTCATAAGAGTTTTGGAAAATTTCTTCTGAATACTGCTTCTCTCATTCTTTTTCTCTTTTTCTTGGGATCCAGTCATGGGTATGCTAGACTTTTTATCATGCTATATATTTCTTATTTTATTTTTCTCTTTATGCTTCTGGCTGTATATATTCTTCTGATCTATCTTCCAGGTTACTAATTCTCTTTCGAGCTATGTCTAATCTATTGTCAAACTCATATATTTAGCTTTTTATTTCAGTTATTGACTTTTTAAATTTTAGAATTTACAACTGATCCCTTTTTTTTATAGTTTCCAGTTCTATCATAAAAATTCTCTTGGCCGGGTGTGGTGGCTCACGCCTGTAATCCTAATACTCTGGGAGGCCAAGGTGGGAGGATTGCTTGAGGTCAGGAGTTCGAGACCAGCCTGAGCAAGAGTGAGACCCCATCACTATAAAAAATAGAAAACTCAGCTGGGCATGGTGGCATGCACCTGTAGTCCCAGCTACTCGGGAGGCTGAGGCAGGAGGATCGCTTGAGCCCAGGAGTTTGAGGTTGCTGTGAGCTAGGCTGACACCATGGTACTTTAGCCCAGGTGACAGAGCAAGACTCCACCTCAAAAAAAAAAAAATTCTCTTGTCGCTTAAAGTTTTGAACATACTGATTATAATTGTTTTATTTGAGTCTATGTCTGATAACTCCATTATCTGAATCTCCTGTGGATCATTTCTGTTGTCTGTTTTCTTCTTCATGTTTTTTTTCCCATATACTCTTGGTTTTTTTTTTTTTTTTGGTATGCCTGGTTATTTTTTACTGATTCAAAGCTGGGTTTTAGTCTTTGTGAGGGCTGATCTATTTGCAGTTATCCCATACCTATAGGATAAAGCTATTTAGGGATCGTGGCTAAAATCCTGGGGTGTTTAATAGGAGCCATCCTTCTTAGTGATCCCCGAACTCCAATTTTTATTTTCCTAGCCCTGTGAGGCTGCTTAAACCTCTGTTCAGCCTCTCAGCCTTTAAGCTGTCCCTTACAATTCAGCAAATACCTCAAGGGGAATATAATCAAATGATATTTTTGGGATTTGCTTATCTCTCCTCAGATCCTTCCAGCCTTCACAATACTCCAATAACTTTAAACAACAAAATTTTTTAAAAATCTAGCTCCTCTAGTTATTCTCAGACAAATGGTTGATCTGGTATAAGCTAGCCCACCATAGTTGGAAGCAACATTTTGGGCCTCAGTATTCTTGAAGGCAGCAGAATGTAGCACACAGGGTAAGAATTTTTAAGTCAGAAATTTATAGTATTAATATAAAGATTCTGGCCCTATTCCCTAGTAATTTTGTGACCAAGGGAAATATATTTAGCCTCTTGGGATTTATATTTTTCTTATATAAATAATGGAAATAATAATCTCTACTTCACAGGGTTGTTTTTTTAAGTGTTAAATATTGTTCAAAAAAGTTTAGTATAATGTCTAGAATATACTGAGTATTTATAGATATTTTGTTTTCTCATCAAGAAAAGAGTTAATATTTAATAATATATGGCTGCTTTAAAAATGCAATGTGATTATTTATGTAAAAATTTTTATAGATTATAACATACTAGAGAAATGAAAGGAGACAAATTATTTCTGAAATGTACTGATTGGTTTTGATATGCTAGGCACTATATTAAATACTTACATACATTACATCATTCAATATTTATGATAAACACATGAAGTTGGAACTTTTATTACCCAAATGAGGCTAGGAAAAATTATGTGACTTGTCCAAGGTTAGATAGTGAGTAGGCAGAGAAGCTAGTGCTCAAATCCAACTCTGACCAACTCCAGAGCTAGAGTTGTAAAACCCCCTCCTGTTCTAACCTCACTAAGCAACTCTTCTCTTTCTTGATCAAGGACAAATATATCAGTTTTGCAGAATCTTGCACAGATACTCAGTAAATATTTATTGACTCAGTGACATTCACACCAATAAAATATGCTGATATAGTAGCAATAGAATGGATAGCAGTTCAAAAACAAACTTCTAATGCCTTTGACTTCCAACCATGGAATTGAGAGGTAATTAGGATGGATTAACATAAACCGAGAGTGAGAACAAGTTAAGAATTTGATCATAAACAGAAGTTTTGACCCCTGATCTGGAAACCAGCTCCCATTGCCATCTGAAACCCCAAAATAATCAATCAAGGGTAGCTGTGGCTTAGGTCTATGCTGCATTTTTCCTTATACTTACATGTGAGTCATTTTACTCAAATTGAAGAAGGAATGTGATTCTAGCCGCTGCAGAGTTGCGTCTATAGATAAGTAGCTGAAGGTCAGAAAAATATAAGACAAAGTAGAAAGTTAGTAGGGTTGTAAACTCCAAACATATTATTTTTGACATAACTTCTTTGTCATGGGCTTCCCAAATCATGCAACATGCACAACCCTCATGGGTTCTCCCAAATTATGTTAAAATTAGATGCTACTTTTTTTTCAAATCCCATGATACCTGAACTTTCCCAATATATTAACTCCTATTCATCTTAAGTTCTCATTCGACTGTCACTTCCTTCAGAATCTTTACCCGAACTTCCTGATTAGGTCCAATTTATATCCTTATAGCACCATAAACTTTTCCTTTCACTAATTATCATGGTGGAACTTTCTAATTCTTTGGATGATATTTGATTTATGTTGTTTCTTTAGACTGTAAGTTCTCTGAAATGCAGAACTGTGTCTGTCTTTGGCCATTGAGTCTTCTGTGCCTTTCAAAGTGATTGGAATGTAGCAGACTCTCAATAAAATAAACAAATGAATAGATAAGTTACTCAAAGTAGCAAAAAATGAAAGCATTAGAAAGGAACACTAGAATGAATAAGAAGAATTTTTAATGGAATCCCTGATAGCATGGGATTAGAATGTAGTTTCAAAGAAAATAAAGAGAAAACCACAATTCTATAGTGGCACATTCCATAGGCTGGTGACTACATACTCTCTCAAGACTTCTCTTCTTGATTTTGAATGAAGCTGAAAATTCAAGATTTGTCTTAAAGTTTGTAAGCAACAGATAACTCAAAGTTTTAAGTACTAAAAAAGAAGAAAAGCAAAAATCCTAAATGCAATTTAAAAATATGCAAGGAATATTTCGAATAGCTTCCTCAAATTCCATCTTGTAATGAAAATGACTAATGCAGCCAAATTCAATGACCATTTTCTATTGAGAGGCATTTCTATGACATTTGGGAAAACTAACAGTTAACAGATGGTTTCTGACTGTACACATAGCAAAGATTTTCAACCCTGGACATACAATTAAACTATTGGCGGGGCTTTTAAAACACACAGATGTCTAAGACCCAGTCTAGGATAATTAAACCAATTTATGAGGAATAGGTCAAGCATTTTTATTTTTCAGACGAGATCAGGCACATTCAGGGTGGTATGACTGTATACGTATTTTTATTTCTCAAAAGCTTCTTAGGTAATTCTAATGGGCTAGCCAGGTTGAGTACAATTGGCCTATTGTTTGAATTGAATCTGTCAGCAAAATATTTTCACTGATAACAATGTTTATAAGAGGAGTGCTGATTATTCCCTTCTGAGCTTTTATCTTGGTTATTGTGAGTATTCTAATGGTCCTGTGCTTTCTGTTTTGAATTACCTCTTCTCTAAACAATTATCCTTTGATTTATACCGTCTCCCAACCCTTTGCCTCTTGTAGATAATAACATTATATAAATGGTTCTGATCCAAATATAACTCCAACATAGAGGAAACAATGGAAGACATTGAAAAGAACTAATTTATTGTGTAGAGATTGAGAAGCTTTACCACGGATGATTCTGAGCCCTCTAGATGAGCAAGATTCATTTTTGAAGGCTGCCGACTTGTTTCCCTAAGTTTGCATCATATCTATTGCTCCAAATTTTTTACTGAATTTCTTAGTTAAGAAGTGTGAGCCTTTCTCAGAGTTTTGAAGGAATAGTCATTCATCTCACATCCTAAGACCAAAGTTCCACTTTCTCCAACCTAATGACACCTCTTTGAAAGGTTATGTTATAACTTGGTTGTGAAGACAACATGTACAAATCATTTATTCAGTAGGATGAAAGTAATGATTCCCTGCTTACTTATCCCATTTTTGGTTTGTTTGTTTTAGAGACAGGGTCTCACTCTGTTTCCCAGGCTGAAGCGCAGTGGCACTATCATAGCTCACTATAGCCTTGAACTCCTGGGCTCAAGTGATCCTACTGCCTCATCCTTCTGAGCAACTGGGACTACAGGCACACACCACTGTGCCTGGCTAATTAAAAAAAAATTTTTTTTTTACAGAGATGGGGTCTCGCTATATTGCCCAGGCTGGTCTCAAACTCCTGGCCTCAAGTGATCCTCCTGTCTTGGACTCTCAAAATGCTGGGACTATAGGCATGAGCCACTGTGCTGGCCTCCCATTTTTAAAACTAGGAAAAAAAATCAGATCCCACTTCTTCAGATTTCCTCGTAGCATATAAATCTTATATAATCATTACAGTGACCATATATCATAACACTTGTCATCCAAACTAGGATATTTTTGTGAGTTAAAACAGGGTGCTGTTAATAATTATGCCAGAATAACACGTGGGAATTTGGACTGTCCCAGACAAATCTAGGGTCTTGGTGATCACATTCTTCCCCCTTGAGATATATGAAATCATTAACTATTATTCATGCATGTGTATGTGCTTTCATTCATCAAATATCTTTGAACATTTATTCTGTGTCAGACATCCTTCTGGAAAATGACAAAACAGACCTGTTCCCTAGCTGCAAGGAACTCACAGTAGTATGAGATACAGACAGGTAAATGGCATTAACATACAAGGTGTTAAGTGCTCTGATGGGATTCAGGGAACAATTAACCCAGACTGGAGAATCTAGCACAATTTCCCTGGAGGAAGCCTCGATAGGGCCTTCAAATCTGCCTGGATGTCCCATATATCTCATCAACCATCTTCTTATTGCACCCCACTTTTATTTTAAACCTTCTCCCCAAATTTCTAACTCTGCCACCTCCACTTTCCATCTTAATAGATAACCTTTAATAATTTTAACAATTTGTAGAAAATATTGAAACCTTGGCGTGAGGATTCCTTGAATTCTCCACCAATAAGCCTATTAGTTTACCTGCATCTGCCCCATCTTTTATTGTAAAGTTCTTATTATAACACGAGAGGTGACCGTCTTCTTACAGAAGGCCAATCCTTCTACTTGGATCCCATCCTCCCCTGAGTCAAGAATTGGTAACAAGGATAGACGGATTGAAGATAGATACATAAATCTGTTTATGGAAGAGTTTCCCGGTTTTGCCATATCCCAAGATATATTAAACTACCTCAAGAATTATGAACTTCTCAAGGCCAAATGAATTTAAATTTGCTCTTGATTTTAAAAATCACCTAGGAATTAGAGAGTGGAGCAAAGTCAAATAAATATGTACATAAATTTTTCATATACATTAAAAATGGAGATGCCATTGACTTATGCAAGTACAGTACCAAATATTTTTCTTGACATTTAGAAAATAACGTGTCACAAATGCAAACTTCTCTTTATATTTCATAAAACTACTTACATCCTGGAAACATTGGGCAGATTTGAAAATGCATGACTGGGAATGGTTTTCAGATGAGTCTCGATAAGTTTCCTACAAAAATAACAGTTACACAATTCGAGTTTTAATCACTGGGCTTTTCTAATAGTTCATCTAAATTATAAAGAACACATTATTAAAAGCATGACAGTCCTTACAACATATAGTTCATCATACATAATTAGCAAAAATACTCAACAAACATAAAAAAAATACAATTTTTTTCCAACAAGACAAGAATTGGCACTGAGATTCACATGCATGAAACAAACACTCAAACTTCATTTATGAATTAGCAGTAAGCTAGTGTGCCTGGTCTGATATTACGTTCTATTTGTTAACTGAAGGGCAACATAGTATTTCTTAAGTATATCAGGACTACCGAATTCACATTATGTACTTATCAATGGAAAATGTCTTAGAATGCCATCAGAATGTATATTAAGTACATATTAAGAGGAATTAAATGCACTTATTTTATCTTAAAGATTAAAAATAATGGTATGGTTACCATCTTTTGCCCAAGCAAAGATCTTTTCGATGATTACCTTGATCTAACTTGCTGCCATTTGGAAATAACTGACTGATAAGGAGTTAATTCTTCCTCAGAATCTTAAGACATCTTTGTGGAATATGTACCTTAAAGCTATGGCTTTTCCTCCAGTTTGCTTTTCTTGGATACTCTTCAGAAATCTGAGAATGTTCTCCTCATAAGTAATGATACACCTTCATGTGTTCCAGTATGCCTCTCCACGTAGGTGCTCTAGTTTTTGAGTTCCTCTCTTTACTAGAGTCAGTACTTGAATAGAATCTTGTATGGAAAAATGTGGGTCTAGTGTCATAACTTACTTTGCATAAGGACAATGCCTCATCGCACTAATGAACTCTTTCATATGTCTGTTTTTGCCATTTAAATATTGATGATTACACATCATCCATTTAGTACCTTTATTTATAGACAATAGACTAAACACTGTGTATTTTTCCTTCTAGGCTGCAAGGTTTTTTCTCAGCAATCTATTTCCTTGATCTATGCTTTCCTTGGAATACTGTAACCTGCCTAATTGAAGCATCAGAAGGGCCAAATTAATTTATAAAAGGACCTATTAACTTGGAGTGAACGGAAGGTGATGTCAGTGATTAAAAGAGTAAATTTTAAGCTCTTTTCAGCATCTGTTTCACCTTGAAACCCAATGTTGCCTTAATACGACTTCAGAAATTCAGGTTCCATAAATTACTTGTCCTCCTTTTAATATCTCCCACTTATATTCCCTTAATTGATTAATAGCGTGTTGGTCCAGATCTAAGATTCTGAAGTTAAAAAGATATGAGAAGACCAAGTTGTTCTACTAAAATTTCGGTGTAAAATTGGGTCATGTCAGAGGAAAACAGAGGATAAGATACACACCTGTTGAGTATCACCCAAGGATACCGAGTTTCTTAAGCTCAGAGATAGTCTTATAGAGCTGTCCTAATGCAAGAATCTTGTGGGCATACGTTGTTGTGAGATTGCACACCGTGCTTGTAGGTAATGTGTGCCTAAACTGTAACATTCACTGACTAAAAATGTTTGGGGTTAGCCTGTGTTCAAAAGTAAATAACATGTATCAAGTTAAATAGAAAATTAGAATAAGATTACAGTGGTTTCCAAAAAGTTTGACTTGGAACAGAAATAGCACCTAAATGCAATTTAATAGACTTTGGGTTAAAGATTCAAATAATGTTTATATTCTTTCCCAAAGTATGATTTTCTGAAATATATAGCACCTGTTTCTTGAATTCTCTCTTTCTCTTTCACACACAGAGACACACATATACTTTAAGTGTGAACAAAGATCTTTTTCCTACTGTTGAATTAGTTGTGGCAGCACGTGCCTTAAAAGATAAAAATATTTGAAATGCTAATGTTTTGCTTAATTCCACAAACAAGATATTCTTCCCAGCCAGATTTCTCACCTAAGAAAAGTCCACCAATACATATAGACCAATAAGGATTATGTATCTCAGAGACACTATCTTAGTGATAATACAATATGCATAATAAGTCATAAACAAAAGCGAAGGGGGGCGGTGCCAGCAATCCTAGCCTAAGATGAAAATAAATTATCTATTTGTTCAATGAATTTAGTTAATATGATGATTATAACACAGCCTAGGACACAAGACTGATTTTAGTAGTGGTAAATGAAGTATCAAAATGACAAGTGATTGTATAGATTGCCAAATTCAATTGCAATTTAACAGTCATACATTTGCCTGGATATATTCATGGTAATGTGCACATAATCTAGAAAAGCAAATCCATTATTGAGGTTATACACACACACACACACACACACACACACACACACACGTTTTACTTTCTGTACAAACTGTCTTGGTTGCCTCTCTAAAATTCATCACATATTGGCTTAAGCTTTCCTTTACTTTCTTGCCTAGTTTTTAAAAGGTTGTTAGTCTGGTTAATCTTATGAAATCATTTAGGAAGCCATTACTTCTGAGGCATCTTCAAATAGAGAATAGAAATAACTGGCAAAGGCGTGGCATCTAGCTAATCAAGTAAAGAAGATACCCATATTTATGTACAGAGCTCTTGTTCCACTTTCCCCCAATAGTTTTACTCTAAGATGAGGGTGTGGAGAGTAAATTGTCATATGTGGATGCCCTGCTGACCCCCAGATGATCCCAGATGCATCAGCAATAACCCTTAGGGAGGTTTTGTGGTGGTTTTGCTGTGCAGCAGTTTTTTAGCTAGAGCTATTCATTTTAATAATTGATAGAGTGTGTATCATCAGTCTGTTTTCTCTTTATCCCTCTATCTGGGGTAAGCAGCTGGATGTTTTTCCCATTGTTTACATTTTCAAGAGCAGAATTTTTATTCAAGGAATTATGTGACATTGTGATTATTGCTTTAAGTGTAGATGGGAGAAAAAAACAAGTGAATGTGATTATTTGCTAAAATATTTTCATTCCACAATACATTTTGAATATTTGTGAAAAAGAAAAAGTACATATCTAAGTATATATTCTTTTGACAAAAATATTAGAAAAGCTTCAAGGTGAAGCTTTATTATTGTCCAAAGAATTAGCATCAAAATAGCATTTGTTTCTTATGAAATTATGCTAGGTACCGAAGAGGATCTGTTTTTTATTTGCCTTCAATGATCCAAAATGAGAAGGTCATTCTCTCTAAAATGTAGTGACAAAACTCAGAAAACTTACCTCATACAAACAGTACAAGTATTTACAATTAATAATTAAGTCATCACATATAACTCATCAAAAACAAAGTTCACAGCTATTACTTTTATATCCTAATGGAGTATTCACATTTAATAGTTAAACAAGTTGGCTGTAAGATATGGAAATTACAAGAGATAATAAATATAAGTTGATTTTACAGTTTAAATTTATTTTTCTATGATTTATTTAACCAAGAATGATCATTGAAAATATGACTTAGAGACAAATGTTTTCTATGGGCCTTGCAGAGACAAGATTTATATCTCAAGTGTCTGTATTTGGAAGATATCATGCAGAAATAGAAATGCAGGCAAACTTACTAATTGACTTGCAGATTTTGTAGACTACGATCCAGTTTTATATACTGTCTTTTTGTTCTTGCAGTAGCAATGGGAGAGGGAAATTTGGTTAATGCTACTAAAGAGAGCAGACAGTTCTCTGTGTTCCAACAAGAATAGTCTGTGCAATTAAATTTTTCATAGTAATCTTGCGTGATAGTAGGTTCATTTCACTGAAATTTCATCAACATGTAAATCCAATCAACATCCCAACATCTTGTTTCTTACACAGTTTCTGTATCTTAAATACACAGGTTTTGTGTATATGTGCACATGAGGCTGTTGGTTTTAATCAATGCTGCATGTTTCCCACTACAGCCCCTACTTGATAAGCATGAATGGATTTTACCGAGTTGAGCAGCCTGGTTGATTTTCTTTGCTATGTGTAAGCCTGTGTGGTCAGAAACACCAAACTTTCCATTTGTGTGTCAGTCATATTTTTGGTCTCCTGGCAAACAGGCTAAGAATACTTCATGATTCTGCATCAAGGTTTTTTGTTTAATTTCAACGTCATCTGCATTTTAAGGTCCTCCTTTTGTATTAAATATCTGTGCCAATCAATCAACCAATATTTCATTAAGATGTGCTAAGTATATTTCACTGAACTAGACTATGTTAGCATGGAAAGTGGTAGTAGAAAAAGAGGGAATTAGTATAAATAATCTAGATACTTGTATATTGTGAAATTGTAGATTATAAATTGGGCAATTTTAACGTGACATTTATCATTTGCCTGGTATTTTTATTTTGGTGAGAGTAAATTCTCATTTATTAATTTGTTTTACTATTGTTCAATTGTTTTTAGTATTAATACTTTGTGGCAAGTTCTGAGAGTGTGCAGCAAGTAAAGGTTTCAAAATCAAGGTTGTAGACCCAGAAGGATCGTGCAGTCAAACACTTGGGACTATTTGTATGTAGACTATTTTTATTTTTTTTAATTTTAATTT